CAAAAAGAACAATGCTGAAGACATTACAATACCTGAGTTCAAAACATACTCTGGAGACATAATAACAAAAAACATGGTACTTGCTTAAACATAAATATGTATAACAACAGAACAGAAAAGAATACTCAGAAATAACCTACTCTACAGCCAATTGATCTTCCAGAAGGTACTAAAAAACACACAATAGACAAAAGACAGCTTCTTCAACAAATGGTGCTAAGAAAACAGAACAGTCACAGAAGACTGAAACTTGAACCCTGTCTCTCGCCCTGTACAAAAATCAACTCAAAATGGATCAAAGACTTTGTTTTCTTTGATATAAGGAGACTGATTCATAGTGGGATAGGGAGGGGAAGGATGGGAGGAACAGATAAACTCTAGACAGGGCAGAGAAGTTGGAGGGGAAAATTTGAAACTTCTAGAAGACAACATAGGGGAAAGACTTCAAGATACTGGCACAGGATATGATTCCTTTCAGACTCCAATAGCTCAAGAAATACCCAAACTGATAAATGGGATCATATTATAATAAAAGGCTTGGGCACAGCAAAGTAATTAATCAACACAGTAAAGAGACAATCTACAAATGGGAGAAAAATATGTGCCAGGTATTCATCTGACAGAGGATTAACACCCAAAATATATAAAGAATCCAAAAAATTTAACAGAACAAGTAATCAAATCGACATACTGACAAATTATTTGAATAGAAACTTATCAAAAGAAATACAAATGGGGTCTGGGGTGTGGCTCAGCAGTAGAGCACTTTCCTAGCACATGTGAGGCACTGGGTTCAATCCTCAGCACCACATAAAAATAAATAAAATAAAGGGCCATCAAGAACTAAAAAATATTTTTTAAAAAATTAAAAATAAAATAAATAAAGGTGTTGTATCCAACTACAACTAAATATATATTAAAAAAGAAGTACAAATAGCTAATAAATATATGAAAGATGTTCAGTATCTATAGGCATCAGGAAAATACAAATCAAAACTACATTGAGAATCCACTTCACACCCCCACTCCCATCATAATGGCAATTATTTAAAAAATTAACAAATGCTAGCAAGGATGTGGAGAAAAAAGGAACACTAATACATTGTTGGTGGAAATATACATTAGTGCAGCCACTATGGAAAGCAATATGGGAATGGAACCACCATTTGACCCAGCTATCCCTCTCCTTGGTCTATACCCAAAGGACTTAAAAACAGCATACTACAGGGACACACAGCCACATCAATGCTTATAGCAGCACAAGTCACAATAGCTAAATTGTGCAACCAACCTAAATGCCCTTCAATAGACGGATTAAAAAATGTGGCATATATACACAATGAAATATTACTCAGCAATAAAATAGAATAAAATCATGGAATTTGCAAGTAAATAGATTGAGTTAGAGAAGATAATGCTAATTGAAGTTAGCCAATCCCAAAAAAACAAATGCCAAATGTTTTCTTTGATATAAGGAGACTGATTCACAGTGGGATAGGGAGCGGGAGCATGGGAACTCTAGACAGGGCAGAGAGGTTGGAGGAGAAGGGAGGGGGCATGGGGTTATTAATTATTAATAAAGGTCTATTGACAACAACAAAAAAAATTTTTTTAAAGTAGAAACAGGACTGGGGTTGTGGCTCAGTGGTAGAGTGTTCACCTAGCATGCATGAGGCACTGGGTTCGATGCTCAGCACCACATAAATGTAAAATAAAGATTTTGTGTCCACCTAAAACTAAAAAATAAACATACATATTAAAACAATTTTTTTAAAAAAGTGGAAACAACCCAAATGTCCAAGATCTGGTGAAGGGATAAACACAATGTGGTTTAACCATGCAATGGTATACTGTTTGACAATGAAAGGAAACAAAGTACTGATATATGTTACAGCATGGATAACCTCAAAAAGATGATCAATGAAAGCCAGACACAAAAGAACATATATATTTATGATTCTGTTTATATGAAATCTCTAAAAACTCAAGTCCCAAGAGGACACAAAGTAAACTAGTGGTTGCCTACGACCACTAAGATTCAAGATGACTATAAATGGTTTATTCTGGAGCATGATGGAAATGTTCTCTGACCTTTGCTAGATTGTTGTGATGGTGAAACAATTTTGTAAATACACCAAAAAAAATTAACTATACAATTTAAATGAGAGAATTTTATTATCACAAAACTGTAAACAAAAAACAATACTGAAAGGAATTATAATCTTTAAAATGAGATGAAACGCAAAAAGATAGTGTTAGAAATTCCAAAGTAATGCAAACACGAAGGATTTAACCCCCTTTCCAGATGTACTTTTGTTATTTTTGCTTCCCTGCACACAGTAGCAATTTATAAAATATTTCAGACAGCTTAGCAGAACTCAATAACAGTGTGACTAAAACAAAAAAAAATTAAGTCTCCAATGTTAAAATAGGTTTTCTAAAGACAAACTAACAATATTCCTCACATTATAATGAATTAGAGTCCTAAATTTCTTCAACTAAGAAATAATTCCAAAGCTATTTACACCTCTCAGACATGTGAAAATCTAATGACACAATTTAGGCTTAGCCTGATGCCTGATATATTGTAAGTACTCAATAGGTGTTTGCTGCCATAATTATAAATAGAAAGTATTCAGTTTCATCCTGATGATACTGCTCATGTTTTCTATGATTGATATGACAAAAGCCTCCAAAGGAATAACTACAAGAATAGAAAAAAATATATAATTTCATAAGTATATCATATTACAATAGAACTAAGTCTATAGGTCCAAATTCTGTAAACTCATTAATAATAAAAATGAGATCAATAGATGAAGCAAACCAAACTGAAGTCTTCTAAAAACACTCAATCTGCCCAAAATAATTTTACACAGATATGAATACATGCCACTTGTGCTATGAAGCAAATACATGAAAATTTCCCATCCCTATTCATTGTTTTATTTAACAAAGTTACTTCCTACCTCTGTCCAAAAATTTAATTCTCATAACCTAGTTTCACACAAACATCTCACCATGTTCTGTTTCTAGATATTCAAAACATTCTATCTATCTGAGCCTAACAGGTAGAAAATTTAGAAAAAAGTTAAGAATGAAAAGTTCTAGAATCTTCAGTAAAGGTTAAAATATAGAAAGAATGCCCTTTGCTGGCTTAAGACAGTGGAAATCAATTCAGATCATTTATATTCTACATCAGAGATTTTTCAAAAACAAAAAAAAATTCTTCTTTTAAATATTCAAGCATATGTCCTTACAAATGCCATGGAGAAATACTTTATGAACATTTCAACTTTGTGAATTTAAACTAATATAATATACATATTGTTAATAAAGGCTTCAGGCACAAATTCTAAAATAATACAAAGCACTCTAAATTCTAAACATCTGGCAAAAATCACATTCCAGGGCTGGGGTTGTAGCTCAGTGTTAGAGCACTTGCCTCACACACATGAGGCACAGAACCACATAAAATATTGGGTCCATCTATAACTAAAAATATATATATTTTTTAAAAAATCACATTCCATTTCTCCAAAGCTGGCCAGCTGAGTAAAGTATAAATCTGATAAAAACTATTGCCTATTGGCTATATCACTTTTACCAGTTTTAAAAAATCCATTTTCCTGTCAGGACCATCTTAAGATACTGTTATTTATATGTATTAAAAACATGTATTAAAGTCATTATTATACTTCTATCTCAATACCTACTGCTATTGAATTTTAAAATCTTTTTAATCTTCTCTGTCATTAGGTATATATTAATAGGACCTTATAGTGCTAACTCTGATAACATACCTGAAAATCATTACCTCAGGAATAGTAGTCAGATGTCATAAACTCTATAAGGAAGGCCAAAAATTGCAGTTTTATGCTAGCTGATAATTTAGGAGAAAACAAACTGAAAGATATTAGATAAAATGCCAGGGGAGAAAAGCAATATTAAAGTAATAATATGTTATGATGATTATTGACTTGATATCCTCAAAGAACCTGTCCCCACAACTTTATAGTCATCCTTATGGAAAGATAAGACTTCAATAAATTTTGAGCCATGCAAGGTTTTCAGGATTTCTTTCCCATAAAAATTAAACAACTTTGTATAGACAAACTTTTCAGAAAATGTGGCTTGACTTTTTAATGAAAATATAGGATCCATGAAATAAAATTTTTGATATGATCTTAATAATCTTTGGAGAAACCAAGTCTATAAACAACTGAGTTTGTTCATATTTTAAGGATCAAGTCATCATTGTTATACCTACAGATGTAATGATATTTTCATCTTGACAATTCATCCACCGTATAGTAGTGGGTCAAGAGGTTTATAGAAATGATATGGAGTCACCGATATATTTTTGTATTTTCTACAGACAATTTATTTGAAAGGGGATGTGAACTCAATAACTTATAGAAGTACTCTGGAATAAATTCAGGGACTCCATTTAGTCTTCTAAATTTGTGTGATCTTTCAATAATTATAGTTTTTACTTTGCTACATTTTTTCACTCACTATGCTACAAAGAGAAAATTCAATACCCTTTTTTAAAATGACAACTTTCTAATCATTTATTGATGTCCAATCCAAAAAAGCTCTGAATTCCTTCTGAAAATAACTATAATGTGTGTCCTCCTGATACTTAATTCTAATATTAAATAGTTCACTAACACTATGACTACAGGATCATAATTTCTAAATACAGTATCTTTTTCATTACTGATCAGAGATGAATCAAGAATTTTTATTATTCTACATATACCTTTTGCTTTATCAGCTAAGCTTATCAAGAAGTTCCAAATGCAGAAAAACAAGGAGTTAAGATGACTCACAACCATAGAAAGTTAGAAGTTAGAAGGAACCTCATTGAGTTCAACCCTTCTGTTTTAAATATTGTGGTGAATGAATCCCATAAAGCTTCAGCGAGTCACTCCTGGTCATGCTATCTGTAGTACAAGCCATCTTATATCACACTCATTCACACATAGGTATCTTACCTTTCCGATGATGACTTAGAAGTGACAGGATGCCCACGAACACTTTTTTTATTTTTATGGTCTAGAGAGATGACTTTATTTCTTAGGCTTCTTTTCCACTAGGAAAAAAAATATGTCCAATTTTAATAATAAATACAATAATAATATGATAGGAGGCACTTAAAGTGTTGTCTTAATTTAGAAACTAAGATAAACAGCCAAAAGCTTAGTAGTAAACAGAGGAAAAAAAAAAGTGCAATCTACAGAATACAGAATCTTAGAATACAGACTTTTTTTTAATTCCAGTGCTGGGAATCAAACCTGAGGCTTCACACGTCCCAGGCAAGTGCTCTACATGTCCAGCCCATACCTGCATCTTTTGCTAGTATTGAAATCCAAATGCCCAAAAAATTAATTTTAAAATGTATGTATATATGAACCATTAAAAATTGTACAGATGTGTTTAGTCCAGAAAACAATATTCTGAGACTCCCAAGTTTAAAGAACTATAAAAATTTGCAATGTTTAAAGAAGTAATAACATGCTAGAAACATAGCTCAGTGGTACAGCACTTATCTACCATGGACAAGGCTCTGTTTTCTATTTCAGCAACTCAAACAAACGAAAATACACACACACATAATTTTATGACTACTTATTTGTTACATGCGAAGTTAAATGGGGCCTATGATCCTCAAGTAAATGCATGTCAAACAACTAGAAGGGATTAAAATCTGTTCCCTGTGAACCCAGGAAATGGGAGAAAAACAGATATCTTACTAATAGGTTTAGATCTGATATGACAAAGAAAAGGGATTAAAACTCTATTTATTTGTATGTAAGTAGTGTAAGATATTTGTATACATATCAATATCTTAACCTAAACACATCTGTACAATTTTTAATGGTTCATATATACATATATTTATATTGTTTTTTCCTGGTACTGGAGACTGAACCCTGGGCCTCAGGCTCACCAGGCAAGCATTCTACCACATTCCCTGCCCCAGTTATTTATATTCTCTATGTCTTTGTTTCCTTATTTGAAAACTGATGTAATCATGCTTCACAAACATGTACAATCATTACACATATAATTAAGTTTTAAAGACTGTCTTCATCTAAGAGGTATTTGTACATCTGCTATTCATAACAACATCATTTAAAATAGCCAAAAGGTGGAAGCATCTCAATGTGCATAAACAGAAGAAAGAGTAAAGAAAAAGCTATCTGTATATGTGTGTGTGTGTGTATCTTTTATATTACTCAGCCCTAAAGAGGAAGGAAATTTTGAAACATGAATATGAATGAATTCTGACAGTATACTACATGAAACGAGCCAGCAATGAAAGGACAAACACTGATGTTCCACTCATATCAAGTACCTAGACTAGTTAAATTTATAGAGCTAGAAAGCAGTAGTGACTTCTAGGGACTGGGAGGAAGGCACAATGGGAGTTTTTTTTTGTTTGGGGTGCTGGGGAGCAAAGGTTAATGGGGAGTTACTTTTTAATGGACACAGTTCAGTTTTACAAGATAAAAAGACTACTGGAGATGGATGGTGGTGATGGTTTCACAATAATGTGAAAAGTATTGTCACTGAACCATACCCTTAAAATGGTTACCATAGTGAATTTTATGTCATGTGTATTTCACCACAATATAAAATAGTTTTTTAATAAGATGGGGGAAAATTACTCTCTTAAATGTGTCAATAAATGTTGTCCTATATTGGGCTGGGGATGTGGCTCAAGCGGTAGTGCGCTTGTCTGGCATGAGTGCGGCCCAGGTTCGATCCTCAGCACCACATACCAACAAAGATGTTGTGTCTGCCGAAAACTAAAAAATAAATATTAAAAAAAAATTTTAAAAAATGTTGTCCTATAAATGCTGCAGGTATTCTATTATCACCACAACCCAACATAGTATAAAACATATCACCCAAAAAAAAAAAAAAAAAAGTGAAGCTCAGAGAATAAACCTGCCCAATTGAACCTGTGTCTGTCTAACATAAATCCTGTGTTCCCTCTAACACTCTAAATCAGAATTAAATAAATTCTCAGAAATCCTTTCTATCAATATCTTAACCTAAACACATCTGTACAATTTTTTTTCAGAGAGAGAGAGAAGAGAGAGAATTTTTTAATATTTATTTTTCAGTTTTTGGTGGACACAACATCTTTTATTTTGTTTTTATGTGGTGCTGAGGATCAAACCCAGCGCCCCGTGCATGCCGGGCAAGCGTGTTACCGCTTGAGCCACATCCCCAGCCCACACATCTGTACAATTTTTAATAGTTCAAAATCTATCACCATTCTAGCAATATATCTATGCAAACTCCTGACGCTTCCCTCATTCCCCTTTCTATAAAAACCTCCAAGTCATTATCAGCCCCTCCATAATGACGGGGCAAAAGACATGGGTCACTTTATCTTCCCAGTATAGCTACAATGATTAAAAGTCCTTTCATGATTAAAAAGAAAAAGAAAAGAAAAAAGTGTCATATGACAAGGTTGAAATTATCAGGTTATCAAGGGAAAAAAATTTTTAATCCATGCTCTGAGAAGAAAGGTTGAACTCTATTATAAAAAAAGGAAAAGAGAAAAATCTCAACAGGGAAGAGATACCAAAAAGGCAATTTTTGAACTAAAAAATGAAAATGAAAGTAAAAACTGTATTGGATAGACTAAAGTGCAAAAGAGATAGCAAGGTGAGAATTTATAGAAATATCACCAAATTATTCAAACTGATAAAATAGAAAGTAAGCAATTAAAAATGACTCAGAAACTCATAAACCTGTGGTACAACACTAAAATTTGCAAAATTCATGTTGCTGTAGTCTTAGGAGAGAAAAAAAAAGAATGTATAAAGAAAAAAGTATCTGACAGCTAAAGACTTCCATAATTTGATAAAAGACATGAACTTGCAGATTCAAAAAGTGTCATAAATCATGATAAATGTAGGAAAACTACTGAAACAATTTTTGGAAGCAAATTTATAGAAAGCAGTAGTGACAAAGAAAAATGACACATTAAAATGAGAGAAATGAAACACATAAAATGATAAAAATTATTCCAGCAACAATGGTTTTGATAAAATTCAAAAGCTTTTGATAAAATTCCATAGGAATGAAGGCAAAGTTAAGACATTCTCAGATTAAGGTAAGCTAAAAAACTCATAGCTTGCAAACCTGTTCTAAATGAAATATGAAAGGAAACAAATCAGGCATAAGGATAGTAACATCAAAGGAAAAAATGAAACTTCAGGAATGAAATAAGAGCATTAGAACTAATAAATGTGAGTAAATACAATATTTTTAAACCTTAAACTCTTTAAAATGTATATCAAAATCCAAAAATCATAACATTGTCTAGAGATATTCAATATATGCTGATTTAATATAGGTGACCATTATATCCTAAGAAATGAAGGGTAAAGGGACCTTGTTTTAGACTATTTTCTGTTGCTATAAAAGAATGCCTGAAACTGGGTAATTTATAAAGCAAGAGGTTTATTTAGCTCACATTTCTGGAAACTAGAAAGTCCAACTGTATGGTGCTAGCAACTACTTGATTTCTAGTGAGGGCCCCATGGTGGATGGGCAAACAAGCAGGTGCAGAAGAGAGGAATAACATCAGGAAATAAAAACTTGCCCTCATAGTAACTAATAAAGTCCACAAGAATGAGAACATACTTCCCGGACAAATCATCAATCCCCCTTAAAGACCTAATCTCCTCTTAAAAGCCCCACCAACTCTCAACATTGTTACACTGAAGACCAAAACCCCAACAAGAGTTTAAGAGGGACAAATCATATTTAAACCACAGGAGTCCAATAGGGTGGTAGTTTCTCCACACTAATATTAATTCTTAGTAGACTGTAACGTATATATTGTTATCCACAGAATTTACAAACATGTACATGTGATAATAACTCAAGAGATACATTAAAATGAATATGAAAATAGAATGCTAGGTATTTAAACATCAAATAATTAAAAAGAGTGGGAAAATTGCAAAAAGGAAAAAGAAATAAAAATGGGAAACAAATAATAAAATTACTCAAACATAGCCAAAGAACACAGTATATTCCTTGACCATTAACAGAATACATTTAAACATTGGGTGAAATGTAGTAGGGACAGTAGTATTGGGTGAAATATAGTAGGGACAGTAGTAATTAATTCTAGTGAATTAAACTAGCAATCAATAGTGGAAAGTAAAAGAAAAATCCTTAAACACATGGAAACAAAAAACACAATTGTAACAACATATTTCAAAATTTTCCATAGGTTAAAGTCTTAAGAGAATCAGAAAATACATTGAACAAAAATGAAAATACATAAAACTTTGTAATGTTCTAAGCAGTGTTTAAATTTTACATTTTCAAAATTATATATTTTGTCTTCATTACCTGAAACTCTGTCTCCCAAATGGCCTAGTCTGTTGGTGATACTTTCCACTGAATTTTTAATTTGGTTTATTGATTTCTTCATTTCAAGGATTTCTGCCTAACTTTTTTTTTCAGAATCTCTCTTTATTGAAGTGACCTTTCACTTCCTATATTTTCTGTGATTTCACTCCTTACATTTTCCTTTACATATCAGTTTTACTATGTACATCCTAAGTGCCTTCTGACATATCTCCCATAAAGTTTACATTAATGGTTGCATTTGAAAAAAAAAAAGTCTCAAAGCAGAAATCTATGATTAAATCTAAAGACATTAGGAACAGAAGAACAAAACACATGTGAAATGAGCAGAAATTATAATATAAAAGAAGAAATCAATGAAATTGATTATAGAGAAAAATCAAAATATGGTTCTCTAAAAAGATCAATAAAATACCAAGCTACAATACGGGATGAAAAAGGCAATATCACAACAGACACTTCAGAAATACAGAAGATAATCAAAAATTATTTTGAATCCTTATACACCAATAAATTAGAAGATAGTGAAGGCATTGATAAATTTCTTAAGTCATATGATCTGCCCAGATTGAGTCAGGAGGATATAGACAACCTAAACAGACCAATATCAATTGAGGAAATAGAAGAAACCATCAAAAGACTACCAACTAAGAAAAGCCCAGGACCGGATGGGTATACAGCAGAGTT